TCTTTCCCAAAAAGTATAGTAGGAAGGATAGCAAGTCTTAAGATGTAAATATGTTGAAATACCAGTTCTTTTCCACACATAGCAAATAATAGGAACTAATTTGTTTTTTCCATTCTCTTCAGCTGATCTTAAGAGAACAATTGCTGTTCTTCTGGATGACATCTTACAACGCCTCGTGAAATTGGAAAACAAAGTTGATTACATTGTTGTGAATGGCTCAGCAACAAATACTACTAATGGAACTAGCAATCAGGTGCCAATAACTTCAAATAAACGTGTAAAACCAGCAAGCAACATTAGATAGCAAACAGGGCTGCTTTGTGTTGCTACAGCTATGATAGGTAATATTTAAGATAAGCTTTTTATCTCTGGCTAGGGCAAAGCAGTAGTTGACTCTGAAAGAAGCGTAAAACTATTCTGTTACACAATGTGCTGGATCTATGTAGGCCTAAATTATGTGCGTAGGTTCTCAAAGCATTATTTCATTGCCTTTGAGCAGTACTTCTGAAGTGATATTTGTTGTCTTTAAAGATATTTTGATATCATGATTTGATTTAGTATGCCATTGGATAATAACAATAAATGGCAAGTAATGGGGAACTTACCGGTAGGTTTCTAAATATATTTATTTAAGTATAAATATAACATATCTTTTGGATAGGTGAGCAGCATTGTAGCTTATTCATTTTTTGTGATCTGCATTAAGCTGAGGTAACTGAGGAAGACACATTGTTAAACAGATGTTAGAAAATGTGTATACTTACAATATTTTGTTACTCATTTACTAAAACAATATTAAATTGAGGATAGCATTGGCGGTAGTATTTTAAAATTGTGACCCAAAGAATGTCTTTATTTGCACTATCTGTCATAATAGCTAGAGAGAATTTACTGTATATTTAAGAAAATTATAACAGGAAAACATCCTAGGTAGTAACACTGTCCAGGTATATCTTTACGCTGGAGTTAGGGCAGTTAAGATTATCAAAAGCGAATCATAATCTGTGATATCTTAGAAGAGTATTTCTTACAAAGATATTTAAGTGTATGTATTTTGTAATTGCAGATAAGATTATTTAAATGATGGAAATAAGTTTTGGATATGTGAATACTGTTTATTTTTATTCATTGCTGTTTCTTTTTAACTTTTTAGTACCTTGCAATTTGTGATGAGTATAGCACACCATCTCCCTGAATTGCTTTTTTCGATCAGGAGGAAAAGCAATGAAGGGAAACGAGGTATCTCTGCATTTAACAGAGATATATGTACTAAGGGTTTCTTATCACGGAATATTTGAGAGCTAAGGTAATGTTTGCCTTATGTCTAAGTTAGCCTTACAGCAGAGTGGATTGCAGTGTGGATGCACTGTATTTCAAAATGTTACTGAAGTCATATTAAAGAGAAAGTGCCACTGAGCCTGTTTTTTAAAATGTACTGAATGTTTTGGGGGGGAGGGAGGGTATGTTCAGGGACTTTTGCCAAAAGTGTGCTGTGGGTGGGGGTGGTCTAATCCTATATTAAGGAAAAAAAATCACCAGTAAAACCGGAGGTGCTGGATGATACACCATCCAAAGTTAGGTGTTTTTTCTTTTCTTCTGTTTCCCTGCTGATATTCTGATATTCTGATATCCAGATGATTTTTTTTTTTTCTGTCACATTGTGTGTAAACATATACTCACTTCAATGCAGAAAAATAAATTTTTAATTGTACTTGTAAAGGCTCATGTTCTTTTTTCTTTAACAGTCTTGTCATTCTTGCTACATGTGCTCTAGGTATTTCTGGATTGGAAAATTGTATGTCTCCAAAGTTTAGTAGTAGTCTATCTGGTATTCTTCGTGCTTGATCACTGTGTTCTTTTGGTCTTGAAATTCTAATGCCCTGAAACTTTCCTCAGGTTAGAGGTGAGGGGGAGAAAGAAATGAAGACAAAATAAACTGACTGGTTTAGATCTTTAAAGGTGAAGACTTCACTTTTTAATCTATGAGTGGAGAAGACAGGTGTGTAACTTCTTTTGAATCTGCAAGTCTCTCGACAATGTGAAGATAGGTTTTTATATCTATCTATGCTTTTTATTCCCTGGGTGCTTGATTGGTACCAACCAAAACCTTGATGGGTGGTGTCCCTTTGCACTATAAACAGTAACATGAGTAGTTCTTGTGTGTGTATGCAAAGTCACTTTCTTTACTTTTCTTGTAAACATATGCAAAGTCTTAAAGTTATTGAGGTTTGTTTAGAAAAGTGAAACAAAAGTCGCAAGGTGAATATTTGTTACTACATGCACATGCAGCTTGCTGGGAATTTTGGCAACTGATATACTAACTGACAGGCAGTTATGTTCTCCTCATAGTAATTCATTGTGCCGTTAGCAAATAGTTGCTTTTCTCTCAGGTTTCAGTAGTACAATGGCTCATTGGAATTAGCTTGGACTTGACAAATACCGAGAGAGAACTGTGAACTACCTATATCTCATAGCACAAATGTTCCATTTATGGATATAGTTGAAACAACTGTTTATCAAGAAGCGAGTTAAAAATACTGTAGTAGCATCCTACATCTCATTTTACATGAAACCAGCATTATTAGGGGTTGATACAGCAATACATCAGTGTCTGACATACCTCTTACCCCTCTTTTCGTGGCTGGTCTTGTTCTGTCCTTTATCACCATGCCGTGCCTCCTATCTAGCACAGTACTACTTCCACGATTTCTGTGCGGAGGGTGGAAGCTGAGCTTCATCCTTTCTGCTGAGATGACAGTACTTTTCAGAGTGGCAAAACTAAACTTCAAGTATGCGGACTAAGGAAAAGCAGGTAAGGAAGAGACAAGGGCAGGGCCTCAGCTGCCTTTTCTATCAACAACAGTAGCAGGAAAACATCTGCATGTTCTACCCTGCAGCTTCCTTTATAAGATATTTTGAGAGGTGTGGCAGCCCTGCAATGGCAGGAGGTTGTGTAAAGAACCCAAGGGCTTGTGAAAAAGAAGGAAGAGACAGCCTACAACTCACGCCAGATCCAAAATGCTTGATAGGATCAGACCATTTGTTTGTGTTGCCAAACATTTTTTAGATTTTTTTTTTAAGACATATTTAACTAGTATTTCTGCTGTGCTACAGTTTTTATGATGCAGCTATGTATTTTCCATTTCAGATGACATCAGAAATCTGCCCCCCCCACCCAAAGCGACCTTCTTCAAGATTTGTGAAATACAGAATCTCCTTAAGGTTGGTTGGTTCTTAGGCTGGATTAGGTTTGGGTTTTTTTTCTTTTTCTTCTTCGGAGGGCAAGGGGAAATATAACCTCCCCATATAAAGAATTCCTGATCTGGGGGGTGGTGGTGTTTGTTTTGGTTTTGTTATTTAATTCTTTTGGTAAATTATGAGACTTGAATTTTCCTAGCTGTAATTTGCCTAATGAGTGTTTACCAGCTGATTTCACTTGGTAATTGGTAGTACTTCCTGTGCTTATGAATGATTGTTTAATGTAGGTAGCAAAAAATGTTAAAGATCCACTCCCGAACAAAAGTTCTAATGAAGAAAAATGGAAAGAAAAGAGTGTATTTATTGCTGTCTAAACAGCTAGAAGCAATGCAGGATTCAATACAGCTCTCAAGTTCCACAACCAAGTAAGTGGCAGGCAAACATCTTTCTTTGGGAAAATTGTTTTGAATCCCTAGTTCTTTTTTGTTGCTTTCCTCGTCTAAATAAATAATTTTTGAATCTTACCATGTAATTAAGATATCCAAGCATTGTCTCACAATTGTGTGTGAAGAAGAAAAAGTGCTGAGTAGTCCCACAGTGAAGAAACTTTGGGATGGACAGGCAGACAGATACTCCACTGAAACACACTAAGATGGCTCTTAACAAGCTGCTTATTACACAAGTTTGCTGATATGTTTTTAATTAAATAATTTAAAAAACACAGAAACATAGCACAAGGATGTAGAGGTTCTTGTAGTAAGTGTGGTGAAACATCAGTATCCTTGGCATCCAGTATGCCTAACATATTGCCTAGTTGCCTGTTTTTCCAAAGAACTGCAAAATACTTGTTTTTCATGAACACAGTCATTTAAAGAGGCTGGCTAGATAGATCTAAATTCTAATTGAAAATACTTGCTGATGCAGAGGTTCCCAGACTGCATCATGTCTGTGATGTGTGCAAGTTGCCTAAGTGACCAAGTGGCTCCTGTGCGGGTACATATTCTGGGGGTAATCGCTGCTGTTGCAGCCTTTGTTCAGGGGAATGCAGAAGCAGGGTAAATTTGGGAACCTCTACATGAAGTTTGTTTAGAAAGACGACAACATAAAATTTCAGATCCCAGTTTATTATGTTTTCTTAAAAACCTTTTAGAAAATACTTCCTCAAAATACTCAAATTAATGGAACAAGCTAAATCTCTAAACCATTTTTACTTAATTGGTGTGGTTTTTTAAAGGTTAGGTAGAGAGTGTCTATTGTAATCTTTAATAATTAATCCAAATATAACCTCCTTACCTGGGATTATGTCCTTTCATTTGTTTGTGCTTCACAAAACAATGCTGTCGGCTATCTGTGGGGTTTGATTTAATGTATTTGATAGTATGTAAAATATTTTTTCAAAGGCAAGAGTGAGAGAGGAGACTTCTTTTTATAGCAGCTAAGAAGGTGAATTTAGACTTTTGCAGTGTTTCTCACACGGAACAGACTGTTACTGAATGGATATTTCACTAAATCTCAGTTTGTCTGCGATGATGCACATGTGCATCTGTATCTGTTTAAAAATTTAATCTAGGTTATTAAAATGAGGCCTGAGTTAAAGAAAAAGCTTCCCATTACATACATATATGAAATCATATCACTTAAGCAGCAGTGGCATCACATGCTATGGAATTATCTTATCTGTAACTGATCTTAATTACTACAAATTTCACAACTATGTTTGTCAGTACCTCCAGCAAAACCCTTTCATTATTAATTGATCCTTGCTTGCATATTCCCCATGGCATTCATCAACTTATTCTGTTCAGTAGATGTCTAATCATGTTCTGTTTCTCTGATAGCAAAACTGAAGAGAAAGATGTTGACATTTTTAAGTGCCTGTAAACTAGGGTTAATAATACGCAAACTAATTTTTATTGCAGCATTGTCCTGGTTTGAGGCCCAAACCACGACAAGCATAATGTACAGTCATGGTTAAAAGTTTATAAAAAGTGAGTATTGCTTGCATTTGCTTTTATCAGAATATTGAAAACAAATGTGGAAGGATTTGATGGAAACTGTCTCCATTATTCTTTATGCCGCTTCAATTCTTCCCATTTTCGAAATAGC